GGAGCAAAAATAGTTGCATTTTATTTTAATGCTTAATCCATCAATGACCGTCCGGTTCTCAGTCCATTTTTTTGTTTGTTTTATCTTTCTTGTGTCATCATTCGTAGCCTGAAGAGTGGAAGCAGAGAGAAAATAGCAAATACAGTAAAATTCACTTATAACGAGGGTCTAGGAATGGAAAATGAACAGCCCGTGGTATATCGGGAAATTTCCGCTGAAAATGAAATTGTATACGTGAAAGTATATGCACACGTTTTTACAGATTTAACTGCAAAATATGGTAAAAAAAATGATAGTGAAATAATTCATATCTCCTTTAATCTTTGTTTTTTTAAATGGCCTCATATTGTCATGACAGCTGATGGCTTCTCTGTATTACATATATCTTAATATTTTGTAAATGCAATGGATGAGGAAGATCACTACCATTTTGTCTTTCCATCTAATTCATGACGTCAGTCATGTAATTCATTACATTGCTAATGTTTAAATTCTTAAGCTCACTGATCATTTTGGAAAGAGTGCTGTCGCAAACAACTCTTATGACAGGCAGACCCGCGTGAGTGTACGGGAGTGCAAGGGTAAATTGCAAAGCCACATTTATCTATGGTCAATACATTGACGCAGTAAAAATATACATAATGAACTAATAATAATAATGTCTATTTATCTAAGCAAATTTATGTCGGAAAGGATAATTCCAGCCGACATGCAGTGGGTTGTCAATCCCTGTGTTAAGCGAATAGTAGTTGTATAAGTATGAAACAATATAGGGGATCTCTTTGGAATGTCACATTTACTGCCACATGGAATACTCTGACGGTTGCAACTGCGTAGTAATTTGTTTACGCCACCACTGCCAGCAGTCTATCTCGAAAACTTCGAACTAAGCTCTTAAGTAAAAAATAAGTCGACTTAAAACTTGAAGCAAAGTTGCTAACGGAGAAGATAAATACAATAGTTTTGGAAAACATGACCAACCCGCGGTATATCTCAATAAGCGCAATAATAATGATGATCGCAACAGTAATAATGAGTAGCGTTATAACGGGGGTTGACTGTACTATTCGGTTCTTACTGAAAATGGCCGCGTCCATCGTTCCCTCTGTAGACATAACTTGTCAGGAGCACGCAATGAGGCGGTGTGGCATAAGAGCCGGAGAATTGGCGCATGTTTACTCGGGAGCAACGTTTTCAAATGCAAAGCACGTTCATCAGCACGTTAGCGTTGGACGTCGAGAAGGAGTGATGAAACTGTGATTCGCCGTCGGTTTTTTACGTCTCGAAATGATCAAAACAACACAATAACTATACAAGGACCGAAAGGCGTCTCCTGAAACTTATTAATGACAATTGTGGAATTCGGTCAATCGCTAAACGTCCGGTTTTTACAGCTTCTTTCGAAATTTACTTGTGGCAACGAAAAAAAAGCCTCTCATACAAATTACGCTATCAAGCATGGTCATTGTTAATTCGCAGATTTTCTTGCAAGCGATTCCTTTTTCGAGCAACGAGTGAAAGTGAAATGAGGCGCGATTTCAGGTGGGCGGTGGCCGACATGCGCCGCGTATATAAACTTCCGTTTGCCACCACTCGGCAGCGCTAACCAACGGAAATGTTTCGCTGTCGCTTGTTCACCATCTGCATGCTCACGTCGTTGCTGTCCGACTGCGCTGGTCTTCGGGTAAGTACTGTTATTTGGTGGACGGTTGCTGTCCGGACCGGCCGTCGTTGTTTTGTGCTGTCATGCTTCGGTCGTAGGGTCGCAGGCGAGGACAGACTCGCGGAAACAGCTACGGAAATTACGCCAGCGACGGTATGCCACCGCAGGAGGATGCCGGAGCCGTCGCGGTTCAACCGGGGCCGGTCGCCGGTCCCAGCGGACTGCCGCCGATCCAACTCATGCCACCGATTGCGTTGACCTACCTTATGTACGGCTTGCAGACCGGCAACATCGTCAACGTGCCCGTCTACACGTTTATCAGGTCACGACCGCCGCCATGATCACGACCGTAAGACCGACCGCAAGACCGTCTTCGAACCTGCGACTGTTTGAATTGAACTCTGATTTGGACTCACTGTTCGAGTCCAAGGCGTTTTCTGCTGCACGTTGCTCAAATATGTCCAAATGCATGCAGAATGTTTAGGAAGGCATTGAATTTACCATGCGATGTATAGTAATATTGTGACCGCAGTACCGTCCGAACAGACTGCGATCGTTTAAGTTAGAAAATGTACTTCTGCATGATTGCGAAATTGAATTTTCATATGCTAGGCACAAGCAGTTGCATAATAAAGCTTTGCTTTACATCACTCGTATGTGCTTCTAGGATTAAGCTTTACTGCGGTTGGTAGAAAACTCTGAAAATCAGTGAATTACTCTCAAGCACTACTCTTTTGCAATCGGTAGGAATTGAACAGGAAAAGAGTATGAAACCTGATGGATTTATGAATATATGTAGCATAGAGCAGTGAAGCGGTACTTTGATGAATAACTGAACATAGAAGGCAAGCAAAGTTCATCGCCAGTTAATTACGTTTTTCAGCGGAAGAACAAACTAGTAAGCAAAGACATTGCGCGATCCAACAGAGCATGAAACGACAGTAGAATGTAACGAACACATAATTACTCAATAAAAAACAACCAAAATAAATAAAGTCCATTGCACTGCAAGCATAGAGAAAGAGTTCCACCTTTACGCGTCTGGATCTTCAAAACCAAGGATGAGTAGTGAATCATCACCAGCAGTTTTATTGGCTCGTGAAACGACGGAAAATTCTACCACACCTCTCGGCTGTAGACGACAACAAGTATAAACAAGAAATTATCAAAACAGGGGGTCAGAAAAATTACACTAGAATTCTTCTATGAGCTGTGCCCATTGGTGTTCAGTGTTGCAGAGCGTACAGGTGATGAATAGGGTGAAGAGTGTTTGCATGTTTTGATTATTGAACGGAAGGGTAGAAACTGTTTTCGGGTGGATTCGTACCTTGAAACTCAGCGGACATGCGAGTCAAACAACGGAAGTTGTTCGTCGCCGGAAATGAAGCGATCTACACCACTGCTTGTTCATGTCAGAACGTCATTCTGAGGTTTTGGCCGCAATGAATCTGCAATATTCGTAGCTGATATTCGAAGGCTGACAGTTTGAAGGAGGCCTGCAAAAGTCACTGGACCAGCGTACGTAATGAGAGTGATTATGCTAAACCTGATTAACTGGTTTAAAATATTGATCGGTGAGCATTTGTCAGTCATCTGCTGAAGATAGCTGGAGGTGTATCAGGCTTTATTGAATATATGGACGTTAAGTGGGCTTAATTTAAAGCCATCACGCCTAATGAGCCTAAGGTTTTCGAATCGCTGAACTCGATGGACTTGTTGAAGCTTAATGCACAGCTGCGGATCATGAATCCTTTGAACGGCAACCTCGCACGGGGAACAGTAGCTCAACTGACTTGTTGAGGTTGAGTGTTAGACTGGTTGTGGTTGTTCAGCATTTTTCCAAGGACGGCGTTCTGAGTGTTATTGAAGTCGGCAGGCATCAGATTTTCAGGTAGCCACTGCAGTGATGGATAAGATACCATTTCTAAGCGTCAATCATGATAAATCTGAGTTACCATATTGTGTAAGCACTGCTAGCCTTTGATGATGATGACCAAACAACAACAACAGACTTAACAGGAGATATGAGTGCTACATCGTCCGCGTATTTCCCAAAAGTGACAGGATGAATAGAACGGCGAAAATCAATGTAAAATTTAAACAGCACATGGATTTTTGACACGCCCTCTTTACTGGCATTAAATGGCATATCTTTTTGCCAATTGTCATAAATTTGTATGGATCT